CCAGAGTGGGTACTGCGTGGCCAGTGTTGGGAGGGGACAGGTGGGCTCACACCCACCTGAGTCCAGCACATGATTGTTGCGGAGGTCCAGGATCTGCAAGGAGCAGTTGAACTTGAGCAGGTTGCCCAGCTGAGCCGAGTCCTGCAGGCCGTTAAGCTTGTTGTCGGCCAGGTACAGCTCCCGGAGATTCATGTTCATCTTCAAGGCCGTGGCTGCAGGGGCCAGCGGTGACTGGGCAGGCCACTCCCCAAAGGCCCTGCCAGGGGAACCAGGCCCCCGCCCACCCTCCTGGGACTCACCAAGCAGCATGAGGGGCCGCCCTGACAGGCTGGCATTCTCCAGGTGCAGCACAGCCAGGCTGCTGCGGATACGCAGGGCGCGGGCCACAAAGGGCGCTGAGTGGTCCAGCAGGGGTGTGTTGCGGGCGTCCAGGTACTGCAGGCAGCTTGTCTGCGGGGTGCAGTGCACGGTAGGGGCAGGGTCAGGCCTGGCCCCACCCCATGGTCCCATGGGTGAGAGGTAGGCTGGTGTGGCAGGGAGCACCCCCGGCCAGCCCCACTCTCTCTCAGATCTGGCATCCCTGTATGTGAAGTGGGGACAGGCAGGTGAAGGAGAAGGAAACAAATGCCTTGTAGGGAGAGAAGGGGCGAGGGAGCACCTGGTGGGATGGGGCACCTCTTTTCGGCATGGGGTCAAGGGAGAGAGAACAGCTTCTTCCCCAATATCACTGCTTCCCACTGGCCCAGAAGCTGGGGCCCAAGATCCCGGGAGCCCACACCCTGAGGCTCATGTAATGGGACCTAAGAGCTGGGTGTCCTGGAACAGCACCCTGATCCCCTATGCCCGAGCTGCCCCATAGAGATCGAGAGGGTGGTATCCACCTTGCGCATCATGTGGGCAGCAGCCTGCCAGCCGCGGGTGCCGATGTGCTTGTTGAAGGAGATGTTGAGGTGGGTGGCTGACTCATAGTACTCGATCATATCAAAGAGGGCTGAGGCACCCTGTGGGCAGGCGATTGAGGGGAAAGTCAGCCTCAGGTCCAGGCTATACTGGGGGAGGCCTGTGGCCACAACACAGTGTCCTACAGAGACGAGGGTCCCCGGGGAGCGGGAGAAGGGCGAGTGCAGACAGGGAACCTCCCCAGGAGGTGAGGCTGATGCATCTGCGCCTGGATCCAGCTGCACCTGCAGCACAATGCCACCTGGGCCTCTGGGTCA